CCTCCCCCCGCGTCATGCGCACGCACCGCCGCCCCCGCCGGCTCCGGCACACGCAGCCGAGCCCCCCTCCCAACCGCCCCCGCCCCCGCCCCTCCAGCGCGTCGCCCTGCGCCCCCGCCCCTCTCTCGCTCAGGCTCAGCAGCCTCCACCCCCAAGAGCCGCGCGTTGGCCGCGACGCGCGGCCCCACCCACCCGCCTAGGCCCTTCTGCCCGCTCGCTCGTTCCCCCCCACCCCCCTATCCCTCGGCGCCTCGAGGCCACCCGCCTGGGGACACGACCGCGCTGTCCCCACGACTGGCCAGCTGCCTTTTCACCTCTGCGCTGCTCTAGACCGGTGTGGAATCCCTGGCCCACTCCGAACAGTTCCCTTCGCCCGAGGGTGCTGATAAATGGGGCTGATTGGCCAAGTAGCTCGCACAGGCCCAACGGCGCCACCCTCTTTTGGTGCAGCACCAGCACCTCTGTCCCCAGGCCTCGAGGTCAGCCCTAGGGATCGTGCCTTGGTTCTCTTCCCTGGCTCTCTGCCCGGGTCTCCACTGCTAGCTGTGTGGCTGGGAGACAGGGACGGGTTCCCTTGCTCCTATTTCCAGTTCTCCCTGAGTTTCACCAGAGGGCCCTGCAAATGACGCTTAGAAACAATATGTCCCAATTCTTATCTCCCAGTGATAGCCCTCTCCCAAAATACCTTCCCCTGCCAAACTGAGGAGACTTCATTGGTTCATTACCGAAATTCACCAGAACCCACATGGGGCTCATAATTTTTCTTGTCCTACCCCCTTGTCTATCTTGTCCCCTACTATGGCTAGAGAGCTTCCTTCAAGGTTCCGGTGCTAATTAATCCACATCCCCAAGGCAGATTCACCAAACCTCCAAGAGGTGACCTGTGCAAGTGCAAGGGAGTGACCCAGTGGAATAATTTGCTAGAGTATGACAGGTATCATGATGAACACCTGTTATCCTAGCACAGTGGAGGTGGAGTAGGAAGATCAGGAGTTCAAGGACAGCCTGGGCTATTTAATGAGACTATCTCAAAAAACCAAATCACCTTTAATCTTCAGGCCAGCTTGGTCTACAGAGCAAGTTCCAGGACAGCTAGGACTGTTAACCCTATCTCAAAAAAAAAAATTAAAAAAAAAAGAAAGAACAACAACAAAACAAAGCACAACAAAGAACAGTGGTTCACCCAGGTATCTTCTGAATACTATTGAAATGAGTGAGGTAACGCCATTCTGTCTCTACTTTATTTAGCTTGTGTTTGCCTGTCTATTTCTCAGTCCTCTATCCCCAACAACCATGTCTGCCTTGGCAACACATTTGAGATTTCCATGGCCTCAACCATGGTCCAGTTATATTAGCCAAAATGATTAAACTAAAATAACTAAAGGCAATATAAATAGAAATTGTGAGCCTGGCATGGTGGTGCATGCTTTTAGTCCCAACACTAGGGAGAAGCAGGGGAATCTAAATGAGTTTGAGGCCAGTTCAATATACAAAGCAAGTTCCAGGGCAGCCAGGGCTATACAGAGAAACTGTCTCCAAAACAAAACAAAAAATTAATTGTCATGTTATGTTTGAAATAATTACCATACTTTGCCAGAAATAAACGTTTCAAGGTTACTATGACCCTCATCTAATTTTGATGTGAATTATAGTCTTTGTGGGTTTTGCCCTTTAAAACTTTGTAGCCCTGGGCTTGGACACCAAGAGGTTTCAGAGACACATGCCTGCTCTTGGTCTAACATCAATAAAAACAAAAACTTTTCTTTTTCTTCTTCAAGACAGGGTTTCTCTGTGTATCCTTGGCTATCCTGGAATTCACTATGTAGACCAGACTGGCATCGAACTCACTGAGATCCTTCTGCCTCTGCCTCCTGAGTGCTGGAATTAAAGACACTCACTACCACCACCTAGTCCAAAAACTTAAAACTTTTAATATCTTAATATGTTTGTTGGCTGGACAGTGGTGGCACATGTCTTTAATTCCAGCACTTGGAAGGCAGGGGCAGGCGTATCTCTGTGAGTTCGAGGCCAGCCTGATCTACAGAGCGAGTGCCAGGACAGGCTCCAAAGCTACAAAGAAACCCTGTCTCGAAAAAGAAAATGGTTGTCAAGGTTATCAATAACTATTTCAAGTGGGTCATTTCACCATTGATACATGCCCTGCCCCCTCTTTTTTTCTGGTCCTAGGGTTGGACTACAGGACCTTATTAAACATGCTAGGCAAATGCTCTAGCACTGAATGCCACATGCACACAGCTACACACATTGTCTTTCAGAATGTTATTTTTCTCTTTTTTTTAAAGATTTATTTATTTATTATGCATACAACATTCCTTCCATGTATGTTTGTATGCCAGAAGAGGGCACCAGATCTCACTATAGATGGCTGTGAGCCACCATGTGGTTGCTGGGAATTGAACTCAGGACCTTTGGAGGAGCAGGCAATGCTCTTAACCACTGAGCCATCTCTCCAGCCCCCCCCCAGAATGTTATTTTTCTTACGTGTATAGATGTGCATTACGTGCAGGCAAATACCTGATGCCTGTGGAGGTCCGGTTCCTCTAAAACTAAAATTACAGATAGTTTTGAGTTGCCATCTGGGCACTGAGAAATGAGCCTAGGTCCTTTGAAAGAGCAGACATGCCACTGCGCTTAACTGCTAAGCATATTTCCTGCCCACATATTGTTTTTTGTTTATTTTTTTTACATTTGTTCCCACTTCTCAGACCAACCTGGACTTTTTCCCAAAATAAAACTGCCTATCTTTGACTTTCTACATATCTCTGCTCCTTCCTACATGTCTCTTACTTTCCAAAGGATCAAGTGCAAACTAAGAAAAACTTGGACCTCTCAAACTACAGAATGGTGGGTGTTTCTGTTTGTATGGCTTTAGCAATGTCTTGTCAATTTTATGGTCTTACTCTGAAAAAATAAAGTGATTAAACAGAAAACATAGCTTTTCTCACAGAAACATATAGTTCTTATGTTTTATAATTCTAAGTAATGCTAGTGTCTTTGGCCAGGTGGTGGTGGTGCACACCTTTAATCCCAAGCACTCATGAGGCAGAGGCAGGTGATCTCTCTGAGTTTGAGGCCAGCCTGGTCTACAAAGTGAGTTCTTGGACAGACCAGCAGACCAGGCTACACAAAGAAACACTGTTTCAATAAACCAAAAAAGAAAGAAAGAAAGAAAGAAAGAAAGAAAGAAAGAAAGAAAGAAAGAAAGAAAGAAAGAAAGAAAGAAAGAACGACTGGCCTGTATGGGTTGGAGAGATGACTCGGAAGTTAAGAGTAGCACTTGCTGTGCTTGTTGAGCTTGCTACTCTTGCTAGTAGTGCTAGCAGAGGACCTGGTTCGGTTCCCAGCACTCACATGGCCCCTAAAAACTGTAACTCTAGTACCTGCCTGTAACTCCAGTACTAGGTGATCTAATGTCCTCTTCTGACTTCCAGAGACACCAGTAATGCACACAGTGAATATATATATATATATATATATATACATATATATATATATATATATATTCATTCAGGTAAACATACATACAAATATAATACATAAATCTATTTTTAATAATTAGAACTTTGCAAACATGAGGACCTCAATTTGAGGGCACAGCATTCATGTCAAAAGCCTGGCATAGCTGCCAGTGCTTGTAACCCTAGCATAGGGGAGCAGAGACAAATAAATCCTGTATGTGTGTACATTCACATGCGTGCATCACACACGTATACACACATGCATGTTCAAACTCCCAAGCAAAAACTGCTCTATAAAATTCACAATTCAAGATGTCTGTGACTATTTGGGGTCAGAGGAGTAAGGAAGAATCTGCAGAGATTAGCTGTCACAGGTCTACCTTGACATCCTCTGTGCTGAAACATTTTTTTTCTTAGATGTTGGGGAATGAGACAGAGTGTTGGTGGGTGGTCAAAGGCGGTTTCAAATCTTCCTACCTCAAACTCTTAGTGCTGGGTTTACAGGGATATGCCGCCATATTTAGCTAGTTTCTCAGTTTAGGTTTGAGTGAAGCAAATGCACTAATACTAGACGTTTGAAATACAGTGACATATATTTTACATAGCTGAAATACTTATTTAATAAAATATCAAATTTCTTCCTTACAACTGACTTAAAAGAATTATACTTGTTCAGAGATTTAATAACCCACCAGAGATTATGTAGCTGATGAGCCTACGAGAGGCCTTAGGATGTGTGCTCTGTTCCAAAGTCTATGCCAATTTTACAATCCCATAGGGGCAAGATGCAGGAGCAAAGGAGGAGAGGCCTGGAAAGGGAGCAGCTGGGGTTAGGCATTCTCCCTAGCGAATGAGGCAGGCAACCCACGCCTTCTCGGATACAGAGTCACAGAGTCAATTTAGAAAACCAAGATGCTTTCTGACGTCCACTGTGACAGTAGGCAAGGTCCGGGTAAGTGGCCACCTGAGTTCTCTAGAGTCTTCTTCACTGCATCACCAACACGGGTGCTCTGACGTGCTGAAGGCTGACGTTGGTGTCGGGAGTGACAGATGCCCCAGCAGCTAGTGGCGGAGTGGGAGGTTGTCGTGGCTGACCAATTCTCTGTGGACAAGCACAACCCCTAGGGTCGTCCCCGCGGGCCATCAACGATCTGCGGGTACCGGGAACAGCTGGTCCAGCCGGGACGTGGGTCCCTAGGGCGGAGGGCGGGAACTAATCAGGGCGGACTACAATTCCCACAATGCTCCCGGGTCGCAGCCGCGGGGAAGGAGAGGGACCTCAGGTGTCTGCGACCTCGGTGCCTCCGGCCCGGAAGTGCCCGAGGGGCCGAGATGGAGCTGCGGGAGTTGGGCGGTGAGTCGCCGCGTGTGACCGCGCCCACCCTGTCGCCCTAGGCCACAGCTGCGCTTTGCACGCCCCGCCCCGAGATCTCTGGTGCCCTCCTGCTGCTGGGAGGGGGGGGGAGGAGGGAGGCGGGCTGATGGAAGGAGTGATGGAGCAGTGGGGGTGGGGAGAGCTAAGTCTAGGTTCTCCGGAAGGATCAAGGGTCTGGAGATCTCTGGGTTTGGCAAGGTTGCCCCCACAGGCGCTGAGTAGGGCTACTGTGGGGTGGGGTTTGGGTGGACCCAAGAAGGGGCCGAGCTGGGTAGGCAACTGAACTCCCTAGGCTCCAGATTGGCCAAGGGCGGAGTTTGACGTTTAGCATTGTCTGGGAAGCTTTGGGAAGCTCTGTGTGTTGTGGGTGGGGTTTGGGTAGATGGTAAAGGGGAGTGTTAGGGGCTATAGGAGACCCTTACGTCGAGAAGAGAAACTTAAAGGACAGGGCATCAGATGAGCTTTGCTGGGAATAGGTGAAGGAGTGAATTTTGGGATGAAGTGGACAAAAGTATAGGTAAGCTTTTGGGTAAAGTTTGATGGAGGCTAAATTTAGGAAGGATCGCTTAGAAGAGCAAGGCCCTTACTTGGATATAAGGTTTGGGTGAATTGGGGAGCTGAATGAAGACCTAGAACTCAGACAGCAAATTTAAGACTTAGACTCTGGTGATGGAAAGGGACAAAACAAGAAAGCAAATTTGGGACTACAGGATGCTGGACCAGTCTGTATCCTGGGGTAGGTAAGAAGACAGAATAACTGGAACGGTGGGAGGGTTGTAGCACAATGGATTCAAGGGCTTGTTGAAGTCGGGGTGACTTCTGGTCAGAAAGCAGCCTCTCATCAATCCTTGTGCTTCTTTAGCTCGGTAGCACCTCTGGCAACTCAGGTGCCATGGCCTTGATTGAAGGAGTAGGCGATGAGGTGACTGTCCTTTTTTCGGTGCTTGCCTGCCTTCTGGTGCTGGCCCTTGCCTGGGTCTCAACACATACCACTGAGAATACAGACCCCCTGCCACAGCCGTCAGGGACCACCGCAACCCCAGCACAGCCCAGTGAAGCCATGGCAGCCACAGACAGCATCAGAGAGGAGGCCCCAGGGGCTGAGAGCCCCAGCCTGAGACACAGAAGTCCATCAGCACATCCAGAACCTGACTCCGAGGTCACAGCAACAGCACCACCTCCTGACTCCCTGCAGGAACCCCTAGTGCTACGGTTGAAATTTCTCAATGACTCTGAGCAGGTGGCCAGGGCCTGGCCTCAGGACACCATCGGTTCCTTGAAAAGGTAAGCAGGGAAGAGGGTAAGAACAGAATCCTAAAAATGGGGTGACTATAGAAGGGCCACTAGAGATATTTGAAGCTCACCCTTATTTTCTGTTTGAGAAAACTGTCTTCTCTGGACACTTACACCCTATAGCTGTTAACCTGTTCAAACCTGACCCCCAGAGGCCAGGATATGGGTGCTTTGTAGAGTGCAGGGGTGAAGGTTGGGATCGGTCCTCTGAGCAGAGGACCAGGACTTCCTGAGGCCTGCTCTCTTACCCAGGTCCCTCTCTCCTCAGGACCCAGTTTCCGGGCCGGGAACAGCAGGTTCGACTCATCTACCAAGGCCAACTGCTAGGAGACGACACCCAGACACTGGGCAGCCTCCACCTCCCCCCCAACTGCGTTCTCCACTGCCACGTGTCCACGAGAGTCGGTCCCCCACATCCCCCTTGCCCACCAGGGTCAGAGCCCGGCCCCTCCGGGCTGGAAATCGGCAGTCTTCTGTTGCCCCTGCTGCTTCTGCTGCTGCTCCTGCTTTGGTACTGCCAGATCCAGTACCGGCCCTTCTTTCCCCTGACAGCCACCCTGGGCCTGGCCGGCTTCACCCTGCTCCTCAGTCTCCTGGCCTTTGCCATGTATCGCCCGTAGTGCCTCCACGGGCTTTTGGCAGTGTAGCCAGCCCCTCTGGACCTCAGTCCCCAAGGCGCAAAGGGGGCTGCTGTCTGCCCAGGCCCACCTCACCCGCTGCCTGCCTTTTCCCACTCCCCTGGAGCCCAGCCTTGTGCCGCAGAGGACTCCAGGGCTTAGCGGAGGCTTCTCCCTGTGATCTTCATATTTCGGGGCCATCTTCTGGGGCTGCTGGCCCTCAGCCTTCGCAGACAGTGGGTTCTTCTGGATCAGGCACTTGCTGTCGCTGCCTTGGCCCGGCACAAAGCCGGGCCACCCCACTGGGCCCATCTTAGTGTGCTGCCAGAGGACCTAGGTACGTCTAGTTCCAAAGAGCTGCCGTGGCTGAGTTGGGGACCGATGGACTGGGAGACTGGTGAAGGGGAGTTGAGAAAAGCGGAGCTGTTTTCTGGAATTTTGTGCAGATTAAAGAAACTGTGACGTTTTCATTCCCAGTGTGTCTGTACGGGGCTTGAGGGTGGGGAGCCCTTGTTCTGGGAGAACGGGACCTGCCCTAGGTCCTGTGTGCGCAAGCTGCCCAGGGCTGGACAGTGGACCATCGCTTTCCGCGTCATTCCCGCAGATTTCAGGCCAGGCTCTATGGCACCGCCTCCACAGCCGAGCGCACACTTCCCGGAAGCTGGGGGCGGGACCCACGGCTCCCCCTGCTCGCAGCGCCTGCCGGGAGCCACGTCTCCGCTGCCTGGCACTGAGCTGCGATTGGCGTCTGGGGGCGATCCGGGGGCTGCTGGGAAGATGGCGGACTCGGTGGCCCGCTGATGAGGAGGCCTCGGGGGGAGCCCGACTCCCGGGCCCCGAGACCAACTGAGAGAGTGACCTACGCGGGGCCCGGGGAGTCATGTAGGGTGGCGTCTGCGGGGAGGGCCGCGGGAGGGCGGCGGGAGCTGGTGTTAGCGACAGTGGCCATGGGCTGCTGGCCTCCCAGGGCCGGGACAGGGTGTGGGGGCCTCTCCCGCGGACAGCACCGACCCCGCGCCTTGGCAGACGGCGCACTGGGGCCCAGCGCGCGCCCTGCGAGTTTGCGCTGTGTTCTCATTTCACTGGTGAGGAGACTTAGGCAGAGAGGCGGAGACACTTGTCCAAGGTCACGCAGCTGGTAAGTGGGAGCGCCCAGCAAGGGACCCAGCGCCGTCCGGTTGCGGAGCTCGCGTTCCGCCCACCCCGCCGCCGCCTCCAGCGAGAGGGGAGGTGGTCGGCAGGGCGCGTCGCGGGGACCACCGGGGCTCCAGGCTGGGTGTGACCACTAACCCTGTGAATGACCTCGGGCTTTAACCTCTTCGTCGCTCTGGGCCTTGTTTCTCCACCTGTGAAATGAGGTAATGCAGCCCCGCGACTCCTCATCAGCGTGCACGGAGCATCGAAGGAGATGTGTATGTGAAATGTGTATAGAGCTGCACCGAGCACACTTAAAGAATTAGGATTTCTTTAGAAAGGAGCGGGGAAAAGGAGCATGGTGGGGAAGAGTTCCAGAGCAGGCCCTTTAGGTGGGGAGTGAGGTAAGGACTAGATAGCCATTTCCCCGTGCAGGAAACCTCACCCGGTTTTCTGGGCCACCCCTCAGGGTCTCCATCACCCACCTCCATGCTTCGAATCCTGCTCTCTGCCCAGAATTCCCCTGCTCGGCTGTCTGGTCTGCTGCTTATCCCGCCAGTACAGCCCTGTTGTTCGGGGCCCAGCAAGTCGGGGGACCGGCCTTTTGGAGGAGGCCCTGTGCAAGGCCTTCAACGGCTTCTGGAACAGGCACGGAGCCCTGGGGAGCTGCTGCGATGGCTGAGCCAGAACCCCACCAAAGTGCGAGCTCATCACTACCCTGTGGCCCTTCGCCGTCTGGGACAGCTTTTGGTGTCTCAGCCTAGGCCCTCCCCTGTGGAGCAGGCCACACTGCGGGACTTGAGTCAGCTCATCATTCGAAACTGCCCCTCCTTTGATGTGCACACCATCCATGTGTGTCTACACCTTGCAGTCTTACTTGGTGAGGAGGGTGTCGGAAGGTGTGGGTGTTTAGGGAAGAGTAGCGGAAGAGAGAGCTGAGGACTCTCAGATTCCCACCTAGTAATGGCACCTCCCCAAGCACACATGCTGAGTCCTCTGGTGGATGATCCTCATGGTGGATGTCCAAGTCAAACAACATTCTGCCTCTGCTGGATACTAGGTTCCTTCTAATACAGCGCTCTAGGAAGCCACGGCACTTTGTTAGACTTGGCACAAGGTGACTTGTCTAAGGCTTTCCCCACACACTGTTGATACATCATGCTCACGTGACCACCTCTCTCCACTGAAATCAGTATACCTTCCCAGTCAAGAAATGAAGAAGAGGAAGTTGGGAACTCATTCGTTCCACTTGGCAAGATAGCAAACCGCAGCTTTCTTACTAGGATGGTCTTTGTCCCTCTCCCTCCCAGGCTTTCCATCAGATGGACCACTCCTGTGTGCCCTGGAGCAGGAGCGAAGGTCCCGCCTCCTTCCAAAACCACCCTCCCCACATCAGCCTACCATCCACGGTGGGCAAAGGTTGGAAATGGCCCTGAGCTGCCCCCATTTCCTGCGGTACCCTCGTCAGCATCTGATCAGAAGCCTGGCAGGTGCCGAGGGTTAAAAGCAAAAGGGAGGCAAAGGGATGAGATGGAGCCGCTGGGATAGAGTGCCTGGGCTGGAGCGCAGTCTAGCCCCCAGCAGCCTTCCTTGAAGGCACAGTATGACAGGCTGTTCTTCACAGAGGCAAGGCCAGAAGAACTGACTCCTCATGTAATGGTGCTTCTGGCTCAGCACCTGGCCCGGCACCGGTTGCGGGAACCCCAGCTTCTGGAAGCCATTGCTCACTTCCTGGTGGTTGAGGAAGCCCAGCTCAACAGCAAGGTGGGCTGGCCTCCCACCCTCCCCTGCTTCTCTGAGTCATCCTCAGCTGCTCAGTCGGGCCCAGCCCCCATCCAGCTTATCTGGCTTCTGTAGCAAGCATTCTACCCAGGCTGTGTTCTGTGCCCAGGACATCTGCCTCTGCTTACTGGTTGTCCAGTTCCCATAATCAGTATAGTAGTATGTCTGGAGCCCTGAAACTCTCCAAAGCTCCTGCACAGCAGCCTAGCTCCATAGGATCCACTCCTACAGAGAGATCTACAGGCCATACACTCCCCCGCCCCCAGTTATGTCCCTTCTGTGAAGATACTGCTTATGTTGCAGAACTTGGAGTGTGTGCTGGTATAGAGGGCATTCTGCCTTGAAAATTACTGATAGAACCAGGCCTCCCTGAGGTTGTGCCTATCAAACATGCCCGGGAACTTGGCATGTGCCTCTAATCCTGCCAGAGAAAGGTGGATCTCTGAGTTTGAGGCCAGTCTGATTTGCATAGGGAGTTCCAAATTAATCTGAGACAAAGAAGACCCTGAAAGAAAGCAAAGCAGTGTTTGCTGCTGGATGCTGCTGCCTTTTTCTGCAGGTGGTACAGAAGCTGGTCCTGCCCTTTGGGAGGTTGAACTACCTGCCTCTGGAGCAGCAGTTCATGCCCTGTCTTGAGAGGATCCTGGCTCGGGAAGCAGGGGTGGCACCCTTGGCCACAGTCAACATTTTGATGTCACTGTGCCAGCTACAGTGCTTGCCTTTCAGAGCCCTGCAGTTTGTCTTCTCCCCCAGTTTCATCAACCACATCAATGGTATGCAGACAGGATGGTTGGTGGGGCCAAGGGCTGCAGGCCAGGAGTGTGCCCAGGTGTCAGCGGCCCAGTGTCCCCCAGTCCCTGCTTCCCCACAGGCACCCCTCCTTCTCTGATTGTGCGACGCTACCTCTCTCTGCTCGACACGGCCGTGGAGCTTGAACTCCCAGGGTACCAAGGCCCCCGCCTTCCCCAAAGACAGCGAGTGCCCATCTTCCCACAGCCCCTCATCACTGACCGTGCCCGCTGCAAATACAGGTGGGCCAGAGGAGGGGCAGTCACAGGAGCACAGAGTAGGAAAGCCAGAGCCCATGTCTCCTAACAGAAGAATAGCCTTGAGGCAGCAAAGGGCCTTTGCAGGGTGGTAGTAGTGCTCAGCAGGTACAGGGGCCTTCCCTCTACCACTGTCCTTTCTCCTCAGTCACAAGGACATAGTAGCCGAGGGGCTGCGCCAGCTGCTAGGGGAAGAAAAATACCGCCAGGACCTGACTGTGCCTCCGGGCTACTGCACAGGTGAGGTGTGGATGGACGTGGGTGGCCAGCAGTCTAAAGCCAGCACAAGGCTAAGGCCTGTCTGCCCTGCAGACTTCTTGCTCTGTGTTGGTAGTTCTGGTGCTGTGCTGCCGGTGAGGACACAAGACCCCTTCCTGCCCTACCCACCACGGTCCTGCCAACAGGACCAGGCTGGCTCTAACCCCACAACACAACACTCCACCCAAAGGTAAGGAAAATGAAACGGTTGGGGAGTCTTTGGCTACTGGGCCAACAGCAACCTGAGCCAGGTCCACTCTACTTCAGGGTGGTGCTGATGCTGCGAGAACGCTGGCATTTCTGCCGGGATGGCAGGGTGCTTCTGGGCTCTCGTGCTCTGAGGGAGCGGCACCTGGGCCTGATGGGCTACCAACTCCTGCCGGTGAGAAGTCCTGTCCCACCCCACCATATGTGTATTAAGAGCCAAGCCACTGTAATCTTCTGTCTTCTCTCTGCAGCTGCCATTTGAAGAATTGGAGTCTCAGAGAGGCCTGCCCCAACTCAAGAGCTACCTGAGGCAGAAACTTCAGGCCTTAGGCCTCCGCTGGGGACCTGAGGGTGGGTGAGGGAGTACAGACAGGGCTCAGGATGGAACCCCTATTGGGGAGGGGGCAATTTGCACTTTGGCTCCCTGTTGGCTTTTTCATTAAAATCCCTTTCCTTCCCCATGGTGAGTCTCATTTCTGGACCAAGGAACAGAGCTGGGCTGCATCTCTTTCTGTTCATGACCCCCACTAACAAAGACAGAAGACCAGGCCTAGGTTGGGGTTGAAGCACTTTACTGCAGGGTGGGGAGAAGGGGGCTTTAAATTATTCACTTAAATAAAAATGTGGAGGGGTAGGAGGGGAGCCCCAGCCCCCAACCCCTGTCCCCTACCCATTAGTCCCTCTGCTACGCTCTGGACAGCAGCTACACAGGCATGGGCATCTCGTTGTACTCATCCACACCTTCACGCTCATCAAACACTGGCTCTGCCTCATTAGCATCCAGCTGTGAGAGGAATGGAAGTGTTGGCCTTTATAGAACCACGGAAGAGAGGAGTGGAGAAGAGAGAGGGGGGAAGGGGTGCTTACACATTTCATTTCTCGCTCGGTGAAGATGCGGGTAAGTACCACCATGCGCAGTGGCACTGTGAGGATGAGGATGAAGGGGAAGGCCAGGGAGGCGGCTGTGGACATGACCGCCCAGAGCAGGGCCAGGCACAGCAACTGCAAGGCAGTGAACAGGTGCATCCGCATGGTCCGAACCT